AGGAAATAAACTGCAAAGTCAGAGGACAGCCTGGCCATCTCTCTGGGTAACAAGTTGTTATATTTATGACAAAGACAATTAAAAGAAGTTAAACCCATCTCTCAGAACAAGCTGTTCACCACCTATGAAAGCTTTGGAAGAAGTATTATAGGTTATATTCTGGTGATCTTCTCACTGTCTCATTTGAAGTACCCTAGTATGGGTCACTGTTCGAGACAGGCCACTAAAACACTAAAACAGGTGGTGTAGAGGTGACACCAGCAAGGCCACTTCATCATCCTTCCTCCTACCTTTGAAGGTCTCCAGAAGATGCTACTGCAGTTTCTGCCTACTCTACCTACCTGAAGAGCTTACTAAAATAAAATAATTAACCTATTCCAAACAAAAATTCTAGGGCCATTTTTAAGGGAAGTTCTAGAGGAGCTACTCTGACCACTGATGAAGGATGTAGACCTTGGTCTACATTCCTACTTATCAGGAACAAGGCAAAACTTAGTGGAATAAACTCCTCAGATCCATAATTGGACTCTTCAGTGACTGCCAAAAGAGACATCTAAAAAGCCAGTGCAGAGTCCAGGCCACAAGGAGCAGGACAGAAAAAAAAGGAAAATACCCAATCCACTCGGTAGATCTTAAGCTCTAAGCTTTGAGTTCACACGCTGTTTTCCAAGAAAGATAGCCCAAAAGTGTTCCAAGAGAGCATGCAGAAAAAAGGAGAAAGGTCTGGAAATCATCTGTAAGCAGAGACTGAGCTGCTTTTTAGTAGGACACATGATAGAGAAAAGAATAATACATGTATTTTATTTCCTCTCAGGTTTAACTCAAGAAAAGAGTATCATTCCGTGAAAGCAAATGACAGCACATTTGAAACTGAAGGCAGGGAATGCTTTATTCCAGTGAAGAGAGCTGGAGGAGGAACCAGACTCTGCAGTCCTGCAGGGCCACAGCATCATGACTGTTAGAAAAAGGATTGGGTATGTATAAAGAACATCAACAGCTACAGACTGCCTGCAAAGATATGTTGCAAGCACTACTACTTCAGGGAATAAAATTATGACAGGACTTTGGACAGCAGCTCCTTTAGTGACAGAACCCCTAAGAACTAGCAGAACAGTAAAGGTAATTTGACAAAAAAAAAAAAAAAGCTAATGCTCAGCTTCACCTCTGTGCCACTAATGTGGGGCCTCCAAAGGAAACTGCAAACTATGAGCAATGTTGTGAAACAATGTGCTTTGTTTCAGGTCAAGCTCAGGTTTGTCTGGAGCTAGGCAGGGACTCACAGGGGCCTTCGTGCTCCAGGCAGGAAGAAACCCACAGCTGGGAGAACTGCTGGATGCAACAAACTCTGCTGGCTCCAGCTTTGCAAGATGTTACACTGAGCTTAGAACTACAGCCTGACTGCCTAATGAAGTTAAAAGGCAGGGAAGATCCAGCACTTAAGTCTTTCTTTATCCACCAAAGCAGCGTATTCTGAAACAGGCTGAAAATGTGTCACTCTACTGACATGACTGAGCTGCTGAAAGCAAGATGGTTGCTTTAGCAGTAGAGAGTCCTTGCTTTGAAATTTCAGAGGGACTGTGAGGTACCCAGGAGGTTTCCAATGATCCCTCACTCAACACCCTGTGGAAGCAGGATGCTACACATGGGCACCCCGAGCTGGCAGGGCAGGGCGACAGAGCTGCTGGGGGAGCCTGCTGCGTTGGGGCTGAGAGAGGGGCAAGGAGGGAAGGCACATTCTCCGATCCTAGCACATTTTGAGAAGGGACTGCCCAAGGCCTGGAAGCACTGGTGCTCCCTTTCAGTGCATTAATTGATGGCTGGCCACTAGAGGCCACTTGCCCCTTACTCTGTGCAACCTATGGGAGAACGGCTGGATGCACACATACTCGGATCTCGCCTGTTACCCACAGCAAACGGAGTTCAGAGAAAAACAACAAAAAAATTGCCAGAAGGCCAGAGGGATTAATTTGTAAGGAAAGGTTAGGAGCTAAATTTGTTTAGTGCAATATGGGATGACTAAGATGGGGAGGGGACAAGTCAGCAGTCTGGAAAGATCTCAAGGGTGTAAAACACGACTAAAGATAATTTTTATCCAGGCAGCACTGAATAAAGAGACTAAGAAATGGGTTAAAATTTAAAAGAGAAGCTTAAAGTGAATATCAGGGAGAATTCTGCTACTGAGCATCATGCTGAAGTGCCCAGCATGCTGGCATCTCTGCCTGGGCTGCCATAAGAACACAAGACTAAAGAAGAAGAAAAAAAACCCAAACCAGTAAATAAATCTGCATGAATGATACCTTCATCCTACTGTATCTCCTGGTTATCGGCAGGACGTGATTCAGCATTCCCGCTAGAAGTAATTTTCAGTAATAGAAGAGTCATGCCAGCAGGCCAGATTGGAAGGGAGGCCAGAAAAATCCACAGCCTGCCGACCTGTGCATACTCACACCACCCTGCTCTCCCCACAAGCACATCAGAAAACAGAACTGGCTCACCTACATCACTGTGCCCTGTACTGGCCATCTAGGCTGAACAAACCCGGGAGGAAAGCAGGCAGGGATGCTCCTGTGCTGCTGGCAGATACAGCATCTCCCACATGTTGCTACCAGGGCTCCCTCTGACCCCCAAGGGCTGCTTCACAGGGCCAGTGCAGGAGCTTTCCTGTTATGCTGAGCAAAACACATCAGGCACATCTCAGAGGTGCAGAGGCAAGCAGTCAGGCTGTCCCTTTGCAATACAGATGAGACATGAGGGCTACAGGAGGCTGTCCCAGCCCCACGGGCAAGAGGCTGCATGGAAACCCATCAGGCCCTGCATCCATCTCCTCAGCTCTTGCCTAATAAATAAATGAGCCCTGGAGTGTCTAGACAAGGAGTGGATGTTAAGATAGGGAAAAAGCCACAGGGGCAAAGCTGGTTTGGGGATAGAGGAGAAGAGACGCAGACAGGAAGAGCTTAAAAACAAGAGGGATTAGAGGCCTGGGAAGATTTTCCTGGGAAAACATACTGATGAGTCTATCCATGGAGGAGAGGAGCAGGAGGGGTGCTGCTGCCTACACCAAAGCATTTGGATGCTGCTGTGACAGTCACAGCCTCAAACGACACGGGAGTGGGCTGCACAGCCCCCACCTCTCCCCTGCCAGGGCAGAGGAACAGGGACACACACACACCAGAATCAAAAGGCAACACATAAGACAGTAAACACACAAAGTTTTTAAGCATGATGTGTTTAACCTGTGAATCCCTGCCACATGGCTACGCTGAAAGACAGAATACAGAAATATTTTAT